AAGTATTCAGCCCATCGGTCGAGGTGTTTTTCTTTATTTGAGATGGTCGTTCCATTCTGATGCTTGATAATGTCGCTCATAGGTGGTTTCCGGGGACCGGTCGCACGGGCCTCTTCTATTTCTCTGGCTTTCTGTGTCCACCATACTTCACGGTCGGCTCACGCGCTCACTTTCACTTCACATCTGATAACTCTTCGCACAGAGTTATGTTCGGGACCGGCTGGCATACTTCTCCGAGATTTAAGCGGTGCCACCGTTTGGTCTGATATCCAGGGCTTGGGTGCGCCTGGTTGGGTCGTGTCACAGACAAAATTCCCAGCACTATACGAAGAAATGGCAATCTCGTCCTAGAATGAGTTCACACCTAATGGAAGAGCATTCGGAAGATGATTCTGGTAAGTACGTCTGACATCTGCCAGTATCTCAGTTGCCAAGTGATTTGTTCGCACCCTACGCGAACCTGGAAAACGTATGGAGAAGCGACTCCGGACGAGCGCGTGGTCAGAGTCCACAAAGGTGATCTTAAACGACCAGCAGTCAGTTATGGATCCGCGCCATCGGTAACCGATGGCAATGTGGTCGATTTGAGTTTGTGGCCGGCCTGTTGCTGGAGGACACCAAGTGGCCAGACGACTTCGGCTATTTCAGAAGTTAGTACTGCATAAAAACAGCCTGCGATCAGCACAGCTGAAGCAATCGTTCCCCATTGTCCGTACGTACCGAGTCCAGTCCATGTCGACCTCCCAATTCAGTCTCAGATGTACTGAGCCCACTTGCGCATTCATATCTCCGGCAACCACCACAAAGTATGAGCTTTTAGCTGGCCGCAGCAGGACATTCAGGGCGTCGGAAAACCTGTCTTTGACGGCGTCGGAGCTACAGTCAGTTGGGGCATAGGCAGACACAATAAACAGACATCTATCAACTTGCCGCTTGTGAGACGCCTTCACAAACGTTGCCAGACGAACCGCACAGAGGCGACTATCAACAGGTATCCAGTCAAGTAGGGATACTTCCGCCCGGTGATTCAGCACGATACTAACCCCTGCACATCCCACCGCAGCAGCCTCCGGATCACCAGTGGTGCGCAGCAGGAAGCGAGTGGAGAATGACTGAACGGTTAGCTCAATCACTGTGCTTGTATCTTGAATTATCGTTTCTGAAACACAGCACACATCAATACCGAGCGAGTCCAGTGTGAGTTGGGCGAGATGGCAAAAGTGGTTAGAGCGCGAATTTACTGACCGGAAGGTCCGTGGTCCGAATCCGACCTCCGCCTCTCGACTTCCCCTGTCTAGGCTTGGGCAACCTGGCAGTATCCCAGCCCTCGTGCTCCCTTCGGGTGGCATGGCAGCTAGGCACCGGAAGGGTGCTACAGCTGAACGCTTTCCTTAATGGGACTGCTTTCCCTTCCAGTGTGAGTGCAAGAGCATCTTGTTGTTCTGTTCGCTTCAGAGTGTAAACAAAGAAGCCGGCCACATAGACAGGATGTCGAGGCTTGAAGGTTGATTTGAAGATACCTGAGGATGTTGGTGCCATGTGACGAGCAGATGCCGCACACACAATCGATGCAAGACAAACGGAGTCATAGGTTCTAAATGCTGGGGTGAGGAGAGGGGGAGAAAAATTATATGAAAGAGCAGGTGTTATATACTGACGTTGTGTTTAACTTTTTTACTCGCTATTCGTTGAGCTAATTGTGTTTCTTTCCGTTTTAGCTGATGTACTGAAATTGGTAGAAGATTAAAGCCAATCATTCGGCAATCCTCGTCCTCTGTTTCTGGCACAATCATTCGAGTGCGCAATAATTTAATCTTCTATCAAGATACAATGGAACGATTGTTTCGCCCAGATCGGTTTGACGCCGATCCCCAATCCTCTTCTCTTCTGCTTCAATGGATCCATTGGCACGAAACATTTACGAACTTCCTCTCATGCATCGAACTCCCAAACGTCGACAAAAGAAAACTTTTGTTTTGGTTCCTTTCTCCGTCCGTCTATCAACATGTTTGTGACTGTACTACTTACGAAGACACCATCCAGACGC